ATCCCTGTGTGCCTTGCTTTAACGTTCATACATTTTTATGTAGGAGAGAACACGCGGAAATGGGTAGAGCCGAACGTGACATCGATAAGAAATCGATATCGGCGTAATTGCATTCCGCGGTCGAGATCTTGTCAAAGATAATAGTTAAAAGATGACTTTATCGCTGTATTATCTAAGATATTGTACACACGTCGCGTGTCAACGCGGAGATTACGTGGATGATAGCGGTCGAATGTAATTTTAAATGCAATTTCCATTTTTTTTCGTCGAATTAACATCTAGAGACTTGTGAGAGTCGCGCGAATATTTAATTAATATTTTATCGTTTAAACGCGCGACGCACACGTGGAGTAGAGGCGGCGCGGCTCGCACGGACACAGAGCCATACGCGCGCATCACGCCGCGCGGCGCGCGCGCGCGGAGGTTTGCCCGGCGACTGCGCAGCCGGACCGCGCAGGTCCCCGTAAAAAGCCGGGGGCGCGATTCCGTCCTCGCTCTTCAGATACCGCGCGCCTTCTACTCGCTCGCTCAGTTTGTATTCGGTATCCATCTCGATTACCGTTCGGCGACGAGATAGTACACACGGGGACGACGGATAATACGGCCGCGTGCGTGCGTGCGTTCCATCCTCGTGCCGGACGCTTCTCGCGCGTCCCTCTCGAGATACGAGTCTCCGTTTTCGTTCGAGTCGAGTTTTCTCATCGATCGCGCGATCTCTCGCGTAGGATCCGAGGCAGCTGCCGGCGAGGGATCCTCTCACCTCCGCGATTCGATCCGAGGGGGAGAGTGGTGCGCATTGTGCCATTGGTTGTCAAGTGGTTTAAACAAGAAACAAAGAGGAAAAAACGAGCGGAGCTACTCGACGAGGGAAGATGCCGTCGATGCGAATACTTGGCCTCCTGGTGATTCTTCTCGCCGTGCAAGGTGAGTCTCTTTTCAATTTCGCTTTTCTTTTTCGCCTCTTTAATCGGTGTCGCGTCTCCTTAATCGTCCGCGCGACGCTCGACCGCTCAATGTGATTGTAATTTTTTTTTTTGTGAAATAGTCAAAGAGGTTTTAGCAGGCGACGAGTGGATTATTTTGAAACCGGAGAGGGTGGGTGCGCATCTTGTTTTCCGATAAAATTGTTAGTTTTGATAAAGATGATAAAGTGTGCACTTCTAAACAGAGACTTTGACATTTGAATCACCTTTATCGGAATTCAGGTTTGTTATCTGTCACTCCACTTTGAATTTATTTTCCGTAACACTCGAACGTTTTATTTTCATACTGTTATCTAAAAAAGACTTTAAAAGCGATACAGAAGTCAAAGATGGATTTTACTGATTTTTCATGCTGTGAAAAAATGAAAGACAAATATTGTTGTATGGCTTCTACATTTAACGTTAATTAATTTAACATCAATTAGAATTAATTCGCATCAGGAATAGAATAGAAGTAACGCTTTGGAATTAATTATCACATCTATATCTTCTCCGGGTAAAACTACACCGTGAGAAAGGATGTGAAATTAGCCGAGTAACGCGTGTAAAAATCGGAATCATTTACGACGGAAACGTATTCTACGCGTTTCCGCGTATAAATCGTGCGAGTCTGACACTTGTTGTTCGTGCAACTTTACATACCTTTCTTTACAGCATAGCACGTTAAGAGCACTCCCCATTGCGAAACCTATCATTTATTATCGCGCCTCAAAGGCGTCACTTCTGTAACGAACACCGCGTTGCGGGATGATGATAGCGTGGAATAGATCGCGGTAACGGGCCAGTCATTACGCGAACGTGGCGAAGGAACGGCAATACCGATCTCTCGAGCTTGCGTCTCATTACTCGCCGGCAAAAAGCATCATCGGCTTGCATTGTCGAGCCTTCCCGTGCCGCGAGTTATTCATATAAAAATCACGTGCGTTCGATCGAACGAATTCATCGATGCGTAACAACTCGAGACGAAATAAACATTCCCGAAGAATAGTTAATCTAAATATTTATTTTCTTCTCAGTTAAGAATGCTATCGCAATTATAATTTATGTCTAATGTTAAGTTTTATTTATAATGTGTATGTAAAAAACATATTCTTTATTGCAGCGTTTATAAGTATATGTCGAGACCGGTTAGTTTTATGATCTATGAATGTTGTTTTATCGAACACGATAATGTACCATGTTGAAACCTGTAATTTTAGACTCGCTTTCCTTCTCGGATGTTAGAAATACCGGAGCTAATGAGAGATTGCGCCCTGTTCGGATTCGTATTCGCGCAGATTTAAAGCGTGAATGAAAAGGGCACCTTAACATCTTCTGCAGCGAACAGTTGCGGAGCAACAATAGCCGTCATTGTGCGACTAATCGACGAGCACGTCGTGATCGCTGCCGCGGAAGAAGCAATTACGTATTAAAAAAAGCTTAATTACGCTTCCTGGTGTACCTACGTACCGGAAGACATCGCAGTCGCGCCAGGGCGAGTCGCTCGCGTCATTGGAATTGATAGTTAAGTCGCAGAACGGCATTGATCGCTAATTCGATTCGAAAATTAAAAAAGAAAATTTATAAAATTGTGCATTGATAACAAACGCGCAAAAGCTTATCTTTCCTTCTGGAACAGAATAAGAATTAAAAAAAAATTTTTTTCACTTCCATTTTCTATATTTTTACATTATTAGTCTTGATAGCGATTAGTAAAAAGTCAATTATTAATTATCAGTTTATCCTTGAATAAAATTCATTAAAAAGATCTGAGATCAGTTGTGTAAATGTTTTCTCACGATCACATCGCGGGCTCGTTTCCGGCCCCATCGTGCGGCGATTACGTAATTCGCCATTGAAAATCGAAAGGGTATCTGGCCGTACTTAGGGCCCTATGGTGGGCGAGGGGGACGGGTACTCTCGCAGTTGTCACCGAGAAAGGAAGTCTGGCAAAAAGCGCGTCTGCCAAGGAGGATTCCATTGAGAATTCGCCGCGTGAGGTATCGCGAAGAAGCGTGGCTCATCGGAGAACCGGTGGCGATGGCTGAATGGCCCGAAAATAAGATGAACGAGACCATTCGCCGGATGGTGATGGGAATGAAGTTTCGCGGGGGGGGGGAGGGAGGTCGGCCAGGTGAATGCATATTTCAGGTAGGAGAGAAGGGCCCGAAAGGGCAGATGGCTGGGATCGAAGCGGCTCGGCCGATGGCCGGTCGATAGAGGAGAGAGGAGAACGATTCACAATTTTCTGGTAACTGCTTTCGCTGCTCTCGCAGGAATGCTCTTAGCCTCTTCCCTGGAAGACGCGTATTTGATGCCTTAATGTCCCGTTTTCTTTCTCTTTATAATAATAGGAGCGGCTTCCTTTCTTTCTTATTCCGGTGGACGGACCACCGCCACAGACCGCCGACTCGTTTCGTGCGTGACTGCGATCCTGACGAGCTTGTCCGACGTTCTAGACGAATTAAGGATTAGGAAAGAACCGGAATACATTCTCCGTATATCGCTCTGTCGTTCGTTATTAATTCTTGAGCGGACTAGCACAAAGGTAACAAGAAAAGTAGATCATTCGTGAGAGATTACGTTTTTCATTGAAGTTGTTTTTACGTAAATTCAAAAAATTTTTGAATTTACTTAAAGAAATTAAATTAATGAAATAAACGAAAATAATTTAAAAGATTTATAAAATCAAGATAATAAAATCGTTCATTATTAAATAAAACTAAAGTCGACTGTAGCAATTTCAGCTTTTTCAAATAGCTTCTTAAAGAATGAGCAATAGCTGTACGTAATTAATTTTATTTTTAAAAAATGTTACAAAAAATATCTCAATTATACTATCATAATTTGTATGTATTATCATATTTTGATTAGATAAAATTAATTACATCTACTTTGTATGATCATATTTATATAGCCATTTTGCTAAATTACAAGAAGAAGAAAGATAATTTTTTATGACGGTAGTCTTTGAATCCTCTACACCGATTAGGAACAGACATCTTTGTGAAAAAACACCGCAGGATCGTATTACTGTGGCGTCAAAAGCATGATAAGATCTGAGTTCAATGCACGGAATTGATAGTGAAGAAGTACGCTGTGAAACGATAAAGCGTCGCGACAGACCTCCGAAGGACTCTTTTAGATTTGAATTGGTGATTTGATAGCGGTGATGTATGAGGCAAACGCAGTCGGCAGTGAGATAATTTGGGTGCAGCCGGTCTCGATGACGGACATTATCGTTCGCGAATTGTACTCGCCATCGCATTTGTAGCTCTGCGAAATTTAAAGTCACTCGCCAATTTGTGATTACGCGCGACCCACATTATCTGTGGATCAAACATAAAAATCAAGTGCCTTCAAAATAAAAAAAAATTGAATGCGCGTTCACAAAACTCGCGAAATATGATAAATTACAATTTTTTTCGAATAATCATCGACTTTCAATAAATTGTTCAACTTTTTATTCCAACTTTGGTGATCGAAGAGATAGCAAGGAATTCTTAAAATTTCTCTTATTAACTTTGATGCCATTGGGAATTGAAGAAAATTAGAAGTTCAATTCCAAGCCTTTCGCATTTCGAGAAAATTTATTCGTATTCGTAAATCGGATTCGTAAATCATCGTTCATTTATGTGTGTCGAAGGTTGCGGGCGATAACGGTTCTCCCTTTCGCAACGAGGCGGCTTTTGTTTTTTTTTTTTTTTTTTTTTTTTTT